CTCGAGAAAAAATCGCTTGATTACTGACCACTTATCAACCAGGAGTGAGGTCTTTACGGGAAGTCTCAAACCGAGACCTGGTCGTATTGACCTCACTCACAGTTATTAAATTTCAGTAAATATACATGTAATTTATTTTCAACTTTCTGTACGTAATTTCACCTTTTTGTAGTTAATTTCAACGTTCTGCATTGTTTAGGATTAATTGACGCGCTCTCAGTCAAAAAGCGGGCTGAAATTTTTACATGTTTATTATCATCGTCATTACAGTGTACAATGTAGTGTTCAACTGGAGCTCAATAGTGAAAAAATAACCAACTTTCGATAATTTAACAGATATTACTGATGGGTGCTATACTCACTTGCCTTTTCTTAAAACTAGTGAAGCATAATCCGTCCAAACGTTAACGATTTTTACGTCTGCTCTTTTAGGTGTCTTCTGTGAAAATGGGACACACTATCCAAAGATTCCTCTCACGTTTTCTCTGATCCTCCACAATCATCGTCCACGTGAATGCATTATCTCAGCCGGCCAAGAAAAGAACAGAAGACCTACTGGTTGATTGTGGGTGCCTGGGCGGTTTGTACTACTGACCGCTCAGAGAACCTATCAGAACCTATCCCCGGTGTTGTGGTCTGGCCTTGTATCACGGGTTGGTGCTTCACATAGGGTTAACCTCATTGCCCCTCTCCCCCTTTGACAGAATTGTGCAAGAAAAATTCCTATGCCTATGTGTAATGTCTATAATACCGAAAGACAAACTGAATGGATCTTTAAAATCTTCACCATCTTCTGCAACCGTTATTTGGAACATCACGCAACGCTTCTCCCATTGCGTGACAGCACAAATAACGACACAGTGGGCGAGATCGAGAATAATTTCTCTCTCTTTCCACAGATGGTCAAAAAAACGTAGAGAATAAGCAGACAACACACAAAAAGTATGAGGCACGTTGAGACAAATGCATTTGTTTAATTGTTCATGCCAAGTTGTCGTTTCCTAATAGAGTACACTGACAAATAAATACATCACATTGCTGAAATATCTACACGCTTCTGATGCTAAGGTCACGTCACTGGCTCTTAAGAAAGAGCGCCGCTCCACACTGGGTCCACCTGCTCTGATTGCCGCCACACGGCATATTGAAACACGTGACAGTCTTGTCCCGGTCAGCATTGTAGTAGATTGGTACCGAGATGCACTCGCTCTCCGGATACGGGTCAGCGGTATCCTGTCAATATAATTTATTCTTCATTAATTTTCTTACATTAATTACACTAATTTACTGCTAGAACTTACAACAACCTCCTAACTAGTATGGGCAAAACAGAAAGACGGAATTGTAACATACATATAGCTTTCCTCTTCCATACTAAAGATCAAAAAGAATATTATGCTATTTTCTACTACGTAATTTTCCAAATCTTTATGATGTGACCAGCAGCTAGGCCTGTGTTATGCACAACCCCTGTCAAATAAAACAATCGCGCGAGGCTTGGCACTAGAACGGAACTTCGTTTGAAAATTGAATTACCTTTGATACCCAGGCCACCTCAGCAGTCGGGATGGCGGAGACACTGGACGAGTCTCGCTGATTCTCTGTCAGTGTGTTGCCGTCAAAGCTACATCCTTCCAGCTGTAAGCCGCCGAGCTAATGGGGATAAGAGAGATAAGTAAACATTTGAAAAGCACGTTGTCCAGTCCCTTTGCAAAGCTCAAATTACTTTTTGGTACGGAGGTTATGTAGAAGACAAAAATAACACAAAGAATAATTCCCCTTCCCAACGACGCACACCAGTGGACACAAACCTTGACACTGAACTTGGCTCCTGGGATCTGAGACCCTTTCCAAGACACCGCTAGTTTCAAGCTGTCAATTGAGGTCTTCATCGCTCTGAGAAAAAATGACACCAGATAAATTGATAAATTGATCGACATCTAGAAACGTGAAGGAATGGCTAAAAAAAAAAAAAACACCCGAGTAGACGTAAGGTCATAACTACTCGCCATAGATAAGATGCTACATATACTCTTAGATGGAACAAAAGGCACCGTGGAGGCAGAAAGTCTTGCAACAATGGGCTCCAATAAGGCTCGAATCCGGAGCGATAAATGCATTTAACAGTGGGTCACTGATTGAACATTCGAATTTTGTACCCTTGAAGAGATGACCTAAGTTAGCATAACACCGTCTCTTTACTGGTAAATAAACCACGACATTAATTCTCTTACCGGGCTGTTTGTTGTCGCAGAGCATTAAGGAACGTGTCCGGGTGAAACAGATCAGAAAGGTCCAGCACGTCCCTTAACAAGGAGTCTGAGTTGCACTTCTCTACCCAGGATCCTAGGGCTAGGGTCTTCGCAACTAAGGCCCTTAACCATTGAATAGGGTCCTCAGGGCCTTCCAAGCGACTGCTCCAGGACAGAGGGACCTGGACATAAAAACGGCAATGATTAGTCTTGACAGTTGTGGAAGTGATCACTTCTTTAGCTTTCCGTTTTTCTAGCTAAGTAAACAGTATTTTTAAGTTCCTTCGAACAAACGTAATTTCAAGACAAAGCTCTTTATAAGACCTTGAAAGTTCTAAATTTCTATCAAGTGGAATTCTAGTCTAAGCTAGCTACAAATTCAACGGCTTTTCACGTGACCTCCTTGCTTCTTTCACTCACCTCTTGTTTAAGTAACGCGCCTGCGAGAGCCTGGACCTCAGCATCCAACAATGCAGTTCCCCGGATGACCTTACTGAGGGAGGAGAGGGAGGCGTGCACGATTTGCACTAAACGTATAGCGTTGTACCTCTCAAGCTGCACGAATGACGTGACTGGAGATTCATCGCCAGTTTCCGCCGGGGCTGAGACTTTCATCTGAATAAGCTGGGATCCCTGGGCAATAATTAAACAAAAAGAAGTGCTACAAACACTTACGATACCTTAATGTTCGAATACAAACACTATCTAATGGCACTATCTAATCTGACGGCAGCCGTTAGGGGTGTTTGAGTTTCTTCTTCCCAACTTCGGAAATCCTCATAATCATTTCTTTATTTGAATAAGTAATCATACGGTTTCGAGTTCAATTTGGAATTAATTTGCACGAGTGAGTTTTTCCAAAAGCTGAAATTGCACGAGCAGCTTATTAATAACATAAACATGAAAAAATTTGCGTGGAGGAAGTGCCGGAAGATCTTTCTTGAAGCCATTTTTTCTCATTCGTGTAAATTATTTTCAAAGTTTGCGCACAAATTTTTCGTCATCATTTTACGTGATATCATTGGGTTATAAAATTTGCTATTGTCTTTCAACCAATCATAATTCAGATTTGCGATGTGTAATTTGCACTGGTGCTACACTTTTTGGACTGATGTTACACTTGAACTGCACTGCTCTCAGCCAAACAGAATCGAGTAATTTTTTCACGTATATTATCAGCTCTCGTACTACAAATGTGCACTTCGGCTAACTTTTTGCACTAATATTTCAGGAAAAATGCGCCAGTCAGAACTCAGTAATTTTTTCAAGTGTATTTTGAAATTCTACCTCGGCTCCAACATCATAATTGGACCCGGATCGCGCGTTCGTTCGAAAAAGACACAAGAACGCCAGACCGAAAGTTGGCGATGAATAATTTGACTACTCTATTTCATTCCCCAGTCTTGGGTTTAAGCTAGAATTTCAATGTCTTGTAAGGTCTTGTAACTGACTTATTACTGCCGACAAGTCAATATATTCTCTTTCACAAGATATTTTAACGTTTACCAAAACCCATGCTAGCGAATGCAAGCCAAATATACCTGGTTGAGTTTCTTCCACAAGTTCAAGATCGGAGACAACTCGGTGGACCACTTTTCCTTGTCAAACTTGTTCGCCTCAAGATCGGATCGCATCAGAACTTTGAGCTGGCTAATCACCTGACAACAGACAAGATAACAGTACATTAACGTTCTCAAACTCGAACGGAAACGTAACCATGACCGTGACAGTGTTTGGATATCTGATCTTAAATAGCATATATTTTTACGATTTTATTTTCTGTTTTCTCCTTAGTTTAAGTTTCGATTGGCAAGATATATCAAACACTGAAGACAGTGTTTGATCACATTTCCAAACACCTCGAAGTTTGTCAAAAATACTCCGCTACGCGTCGTATTTTCAACTCTCTTCTCGGTGTCTGGAATGTGGCCAAACACGGTCTTTCGTGTTTGATATATTACATACAGCACCAAAGTACAATACGGGACAACGTTAGTAGTGCGTGAAACTCACTTGTGAGCTGATGATTCTCTGCGAGGAACGCTCGATGTTTGCCGGTAAACCGAAGAAGGACGGCTTATCGTCATCGGGAAGGGAGTTGATGATCTCCACGTAATCCTGGAAAGATACACAACACCTTTATTACACGCAGCCAAGGTTTTAACAAAGTCAACGAATGCCGCTTGACAAGCGTTAGCAGGGTTGGAAAGAGACACTGGACGAGTTATTCTTAAAAAAAAAAAAAAAAAAAAAACTGCAACACAACGAAAATCGCCAAGCTAGAAGTGCTGGTCCTGAACACGATGTAAATGCCATTAACTTTATAGAATTATTTTTGAACAGGGAGTTACATTAGAATACCAAAAAAATCTTGAGTGTAGACTAGTCCAGAGAGTGTTCTATCAGATTCCTCGGCTGATTTCAACTGAAAAACTGCAAGCAGCCTATTTTACGTCTCACAACTACTTACAAGATTTTTATTTCAGAAATTAGCAAGTCTTACCCTGTGGTGACACGATGTTGGTAACGTCACGTTAGGAATCACTTTCTTGGGCCTTGCCGAGCGGCTTCCTCCCTGAAAGAACAACATCCGAACAGAAGTAACAAGGTTCAGTAATATTTGTGTACTCCAAAATGAATAACGCTTGTGATGGTTTCAAGAAAGAGTCTGGGCCCTTACTTATCGTAGAATGTTATTTATATTCTTTTTATTTTTTTCAATCTAGAATCACAACTTTTTACTCCGGGCACCCAACTTGTAAACTAGTGCTATCTCTTTTCTTCCCTCAAGCTATAATTTCTCCCTAAAGAGCATTTTTTCAAAGTTATTCTGAAAATATGATCGTCACACACACAAAAAGTAATAATACAATATACTCCTAGGCCTAGATACCCGCGTTGAGGAACTTTTCAATCTGCTATAATTCGCCAATAGCCTTTCGTTTTATCGGAAATTTATCCGCCGGTAGAAATCACCTTAGACAAAATAACATGATTTGGACGATGCTTCACGTGAATAAGTAAATGATAAGGAAACATTTCTTTCTGTCTTCAGCTCACCTGTCCTGGGAAAACAGCTTGTTCGAAATACTGCAGCAGATAAGACTGAAGGACTTTAGCGTCAAAAGTGTTGTCAATCCGACCACCGTATATAGCGTTCTCGAACAATCCGTGCACAAACTTCCACCGAACTGTTCCTGAACCTGTGTACGCAATAAATATTACTTTTACACAACTAGTAATTAATTTCGTTTGTGGTGTTGTTTTTAAACGATTCTTGAAGAATTTTCGGTTGGTCTTGTCAAAAATATAACTCAAAGCAGAGGTACCCGCAACCCCCATCACCCATACTCCTATCGGCTGAAAATTGGATGCTAGATCTACTTCCCATCAAACTTCGCGCGCGGGGCAATACCAGAGCACAAACTTTTCACAACCTTAAATCATCCAAATATGTCCTGGGAAAGAATTCGCTCGAGTGGAACCCTCAGGGGGCTAGGAGAAAAAGGCAGAGCGAAGAAGTCCGGCAATGGAGGAGGACTATACAGCAGGAGCACGAGGACTTGGGGATGTCATGGAATCAAGTGAAACGGACCGCACAAAACTTCAAACAGTTCACTTACCAGCTGCTGTACAAAGTCTGTCGATGATATCAGCTCCTGCACGCAAATCACCAAAAGCAAACTCATAGAACTTTGTCCAGCCCTGAAGAACAAATCAAATATTAATTTTAATTTCTATCAGTGTTCCCTTCCCGCAATTAATACAAGATTTATATGCCAGACATTCCAGATCTGTTGTACTGAAGCATGTTGTTAACCTGTGGAATGTAGTTTCTCCGTTCCTGCACTATAGCATGGAACCACGCCAACACAAACAGCGCCTGCGCTCTGATGGAGGAGTTACCGCGGCTGATGAACTGCGGGCTCCACGAGTCGTAGGTTCGCTGAAGATTTTTCTTTATTCCAGGTGGAGCCTGAAAAAAAGGTAAAAAACATAAACGTTTAAACGATACCAGGTTACTTGACCAGGTTGTTAATGTTGAGTGCTAAAAAAGAGGTTTAATCACGCCTGAAGATGAGATGCTTCGGTAATAACAATGTCCCAATTTGGAGTGGGACTGGGGCGAATTTGCATTGTGGCATAGGAGACTGTCTTTTACGAAACAGTGCTCTGATTTTGTGAAATTTGGGTTTGTGACAGTTAGGTCAAGTGGCGAAAGGTACCAAGCGTTCTCAGCGCCATATGATATTTGAATTTGGAATTACGTTAACTAAAGTTTTGGGAGTATCAGTGATAATGTGAAGTTTATATGAAATAATTCATATATGAACTGCGGTTGTAGATGATAGTGAAGAATGATCGTCGCAGTAAATTTTCCAATTTAAGCAATTGGAAAGAAGAAGCCTTAAAAAATCAGGGCTTCAACGGGATTCGAACCCGTGACCTCCGCGATACCGGTGCGATGCTCTACCAACTGAGCTATGAAGCCACACATT